GGAAATTGACCCATCATTCAAAGATGGCTGCTAGCACGTGATCGAAATTCCATTTTGGCCCTTGGGTACAGTTCTTCACGGTAGTTCTTAGATCCATCCACTCCACAAAACAACTAAGTTTCATAATAACCATCAAAAATTAGGATATCTAATTTCAACATTTTAAGTACAGAACGTTTTACCGACAAACTCGTCGAGAAACGTTTTTCCACATAAATCGCCAAGTGTAAAGAACAACTTTCCTTGGCCTAGGACCAACACAGAATCTGCGCTCGATCAACTATCCAATGAATACAAAGACTGTGGCGGAACAGCTCTGTACGCGATAATAAACGATGAGAAAATTTATTTAAATTAAGAGAGGTACCGTCCGATATATCAAATCTTATTTTAACCTCTTCTCCCCTTGATGGCCTAGAAACTCGAGTAAAGTCTGTCTGTCCCTTTGACGTACTAGGGTAACCGTGGATTCTGCAGCCTATACGGAGTCGAAGAGCATTATATTCGTTTTTAAGACTCCATCAAGAACCCTGTTGATCATGATGAAAGCCATTTTGCTATTTCCTTAATATTGTCCTCGTTAAGACTCATGGCGTGCTCAGATCGCTTGACTTCCAAAATGTTGGTGCACAGCTGGTGGGACATCGCTTCTCACCAGTGACATAGGTCGTAAAATCGGTTGCTTTCTCTCTTTTTTTCTGTTTCTGTTTCGCTCTCACTTTTTCATAAAGACGTAAACAATCGCTAATTTACTTTAATTTTGGAATGTTGTTTATTGGATTTTTGAGATTTAACGCTTCGTTGTGAGGAAAAAAATTTGGCCAGAGGAGACGATGGTCCCATCCTGCGTTAAAAAGGAGAAAAACGATGAGGTCACCTGTATCACCTGTAGCCCCGTTGATCGTCGACTGTCTCAAGCGAGCTCCAGTAATTCTTCCATTTCTCCCTGTCGCGCGTGCAAGGATAGCCTAGTGGGTTGTGATCACTCTAGGGACTCACTAAGCATCATATGTTTCTCTCAACGTTTTCATAATGAGCTCTGAGGTCGGTGTTCTTCTCGCCCTACATTTTACACCCCGAGAAATCTAGTTAGTAACAACTCTTGTTCAATTTTTTTCAAATTTATCATATTGAGCATCAAGCCCACAGTATCTTCGACAGCTTAGCATATAGAATAGCGTCTCTGCTTTTTCGTCGTTGACATTTGTAGGAGCTTCGAATCCTCTTTCTCACTTGCGTGATGCGAGATGTTCTAAACATTGTCTTTTCGACTTCACATTCCATAAATCTAAATGATCTTTCATTCTACTTGTAGTGATCTGGCTTCTAACGCATACATTAAAGCAGAAATAATCGTAGAGTCGTAAAGGTGGGCATGGAGTTGGGTGCTCTTTGTTCTTTTCACTACTTCCTCGATTATCTTGATAGCTCCACAAGCCGCTCGCTCCTCATGCACAACTCTGGAGCTAAGTCGTTCATAATATTGATTTCCAAAGCTAAATAGTTAGACGTAGCTGGAACATTCGTGCCGCTGAGCATGAATGGATCATACGAAACGAATCCGTTCCTCGTGAACATTGTTTTTGCGGGATTTAGCCGATGACCAATCTTTCCCGAGGTGTTATCAAACTCGGCAAGAATTCGTTTCACCCGGCTAATGCTTGGTGTTATAAGAGTGATGTCATCAACAAATTGAAGAAGCTGTGGTTGCCGGCCATCGATTTTCACTCCCATGCTGTTCTATTCCAATGATCGCATAACGTTCTCGAGGGTGGCGGTAAATAATTTTGGCGCGATGGTGTCGCTATTCTGACCCTTTTTTGACGTCGATTTTAATGTCGCCGTAGAATGAAGATATCTTGGTTTTTCAGTTATTATATAACCCACGCGAAAGCTTGCCAAGCTGCCTAGGGTTTTCATTACTGCTTCTATCTAGACTGAGTAAAAAGCTCTCATTAAATTGATGGAAGTGAGACAGAACGGTCCTTCGTATCCCTCGATACTTGAATAAGCCTTGTTATCATGTAAATGTAGTCCATCTTATCGAATCCTTTTCCAAACCGTGCTTCCTCACTTGGCTGCCCTTCTCTAGTGCTTAACCAGCTTTGTTTAGGATGACTCTAATGATGGGTTCTTAGACGACAGACAGCAAGCAGATTGCGCTGCAGTGGTCGATATCGTGGACATCATTATTGAAAAATAACACACTCTTCCTGCTCTTCCATTGAATAGGAACCTCGATTTTTGGAAGGTAATATGTGGACAGCACAGCCAGTGTGTTTATAATAATATGCCGATGGTTCATCAGGTGTTCAGAGCTCATTCTTTTCTGATCAGGTGTTTCTCGACTCTTTACCGACGAAAGAGCACATTAGATTTCGCTACTGGGAACCGATGGGACGGAACGTCCATTCTCCTTTATTTCGCATAAGTGCAGGAGGACGTGGTTATTGAAGAGATCCCAGCAGTAATCGTGAACGATTTTATCTATTACCTTTCTGGAAAGTGTAACTGTTTTGCCTGGGGGTAGGAGTGCAATCATCTTGGTTTTGTAATGGGTAAGGTTTCGGTGGGTTTGAAATTTCTTTCTCAAATTCTTCAGATTCGACTACAGCTGCTGCACTTCTCGCACTAAGATCCTCTTTTATGGCTTTTTTGCATTATTCTGTAAGTTCGGATGTGGCCGTTGCTTGCAGCTGGTGCGATTCCACGCTGGTGTATCAGCTTGAATATTTCTGGAGACAGACGTGTCCTGCTGACTTTCGAACTCCCAGGTTTCATGGCGCCAACATTTAAATGTCGAATAAACCGATAATTTGCTTTTCGCTGTTATCAATAACGGCACCTTTCCAAATGATCGACTAGTGATTTTAATAATTCTTATCATTTACGGTAGTTTTGGAACATCGTTTTTTGAATTCATCGGCTTTCCTCTTTCCTGCAAGAAATGGAATTTTCACGAAAGAAGCGATGGGTGTGATCCTGCGTAGAATTTGGGGCAACAGCGATAGTGGTTGGGCAAAATCTTCCATTTACTATCATGTGGTCTATTTCGTTATGGTACTCTTCATAGGAAGAACCCCAATTCCAGGAAGAGACAGCATCACCCTCACTCGGAACCCCACTGTGTTTAGCGCTTCATACTCCACATAGCCTACTGAGCTTTCAAAGTACGGGCTGGGCATACTCAAATGGAGCTCACCAGTAACTGTTAGAGTAAACTGGGGCTTATAACGCGACTACTAGCCACTTTACGCTTTTGGCCGTATTACTAATAGAATAGAATCCAAACAAACAAAGCACATCCATGTACTCACGCATGAACATATATTCGTACGCACAGAATGTCTGCTTCAAAATGGCGCAGTAGAAGCAGGGAATCCATACTCTGGATCCACCTGCGTCTTAGGGAAGCAAAGGTCGCTTTTGCTCCGCGAGTAACCTCCTATCCGCCATTTGGCGTCGCGCCACGTTGCCTCGTGACCAACCTGCATGAGATCCCTCTATGAAGGAGATCCGTGAATCTGTTAAGTAAAACCTTTAATTTGCTTTGGTGTGTTCTATTTCCTTATACTGTTCTCTTTCGGAGATCTGCCAGGAGGAAAAAGCCGTTGGGAGCTTCTGAAATCTTGAGTAGCCATAAATATCCTTGGTGTCATGATGAACTCAGGTAACTGTTGATAATCTTAACCCTTTTATTTACTGCCTTTTTCTTTTTAATGGCAGGGTATGTGCTGATAATCACGACTAACTCATAGTTAACCTCAGTACAAACATTTTTAGACATTCTTAAATGCCAAAATTTTTGTTATTTTTATTCCATTTTATTTTATTTAATCTGTCTTCACGTATAATTTGCGGATCTCAGCACTTCTCACATCCAGTTCGTTTCCTCGCATCCATCCTCCACAAAGTTCATCATCTTCCATGTTTTACGTGTGGCTTTGGTTGTTGCTTAAGGATTTTCATTTCATCTAGGATGTTATAAAATGCTGGTCGAGCAATTCTTCCTGGAGTCCTGAGGTAGCCGGGTTGGAGCGTTCCCAATTAGATTGCAAAGAGCGATTCTTTCCCAGAGAAGTCTGGTACCATTTTTCCGGCCCTGGAGGGATGAGAGGCTTGGTTGGCCCGAAGTGGAGTCGAACCAGCACCATGTTCGTGATGAAGGACATCACTACCACTGTGCTATCCGCCCCATAAATGCCAATAATAGTATGAATAATAGTAATTAATATATAGCAATAGTAATAATAATGGATAATGAAATTTTCTGATGTTCTTAGGATCTGGTTGTTTCATAAGGTAAGAAAAAACACTAAGTGAACACACCGTGAAGAAAAAACAGCTCGTTCTTTTATGCATTAATTTATTCCTGCAAATGGTGCGATACAACTGCGCAGTAAATCCAAAGCTTTGAGAAGCGATCTCCTTTGGGAACATTACGAAAGCAGCCAGGTAATAGAGAAAGCGAAAACATGCTGAAAGTCGTGGGAAGAGTTCTCTTAGAAGTTCAAACAACAGAAGAAAAATGAAAGAACTGGAAAGGTTAAAAATTACTTATGTGCATTCCCTATTTCATACCTGTATATTATTGGTGTTAGCGAGGAATGTACAGGTTGGAATAACACTGATATTTCTATAAACCATACTTGATCTCAAAAAAAGACCATCCAGCCAGCTGGAATCCTTCTTAGACTAGATTAGTTTCGGCTTGTCGCCTCGAAAATTAGTATCCTACTGGGCTGGAAATAAAATGTCTGGAAGCACTGATTTGATAGATCGCTGGAGCAACATAAGTTATTCTATAGGGCAGATATACATTCAGTCACCTCTACGATGAAGTCGAAAGCATGGTGCATCGCTAAGGGATCGAAAACTTAACCCTTTATCTTTTTACTTTCTGAAATCACAAGCCTCTTTTCAACAAAAAAAGGGTTAATTGATAAAATTCACGAAAAATCAAAGCATTTTAGGAGTTCCAATCGTGTGATTCCTCTCTAATGCGTGCGTCGCCGTCACTTGATAGCGTGCCTTCCGGAGCTATGACAGAAAAATCTCATGGGTCTCCTCCTGCACCGACGAACAATGATGTCATCGATCCATACACTGAAGATCGTCGAATTGCTATGCACCAGCTGTATGATGACTATGAAGTAGAGGCTCCGAATCTCGAAAAAAGTATCGCAAGTCTTTTCGCACTTTGAAAAAGCAATGAATTTTATAATATAAAGGGGTCGATATTTCAAGGATGACTTTCGAAAATCTGTTACCTTTCAACAAAACTAGGGCTCTTGTGGCGCAGTGGTTGGTTGGAGGCGCCACTACGGCACACGTAAGGAATTGATCCACGCGCCCATGGCTCGCCAAGCCTTCCATCCCTCTAGTATCGGCAAATTGGTGCCAGACTTGTCTTGGAGGACAGCGGCACTTGCTCAATACATCAGTAGGCCACCGTGAGTCATTGTAAATGCCAAATATGCATTCAATCACCTCCAACGATACTTAACGAAGTCGAAATGCATGGTGCTTCTCTCAGGGATTGATCAACGCCGAAAGCTTTACCCTTTATCCTTCTCAACAAAATGGTTTTGTTTGAACAAAAAATGGCTTAGGAGAAAGTGATAGTAGTTTTCACTGAGTAATGGCATCCTCGACCCAAATTTACGGAAAATATAATGACTAGAGGTTTCATTGATAGTTCTTCACATCTTTTATCCTTAACGTTGCTTCTATTCGTCATGTATACTTACGACTGTCATGCATAAAGCTAATCGTCTTTGCGTGTGGGTTTCAGTGAAGTTTGACACTATGAAACTACAATCCAGCTGCGGATAGAGATCGCATGCGTATTCAGCTATGCTTTCACTCTACACTTTAGAGATCTCACTCAAAACGTCTTCCTTTTCAGCTTCAAGATCGCCACGAACTCGACCCGCGTTACCGACGGAGCCTCGTGAGCCTATTGTTATTGCTCAGTATGCACAACGTTACCCACAACCACCCGATATTACAGGTATGATTATTCTTAGTGGAGTTCTCATCAGGTCAACAACATCAGTTCATAAAATCGTAATATTCTCGCTGGATTTTACAGTGTTTTTTCTCCGAGTTTTCCTTTCTTTTTGCATAAAAAACCTTAGTCGGGGAGTATCCATTCGGTTTGGAAGAAGACCGTTGCACATAACATGAAATTTCTTACCGGTTTCGCATCATTTTCTCCTCAGTTGGTGTAATTTCTTCGGCTTCGTCATGTGAGCAAATCGTTTTTCGTGAAACTGGAACGATATGGGTATTTTCATAATCGCCCTATGGTGATGTACAACCTTTGCACAGCACAGATTTCTCAACCGCAGTGAGTAGTCGGCAATCCGATTTATGACGTCCTTTACTTACGACTCGCTCTCATCGGCTAATTTAGAGGAACCCAGCTGCCTTTTATTTCCTATACAACCATCCTATTTGAATTAAGCTCTATTTTATTTTTTAGATCAAGATTTCAAAATCCACAATCTCTGGATTCTATTTTAGTTGAAATTTCAAAATAATGGCCTACTTGACCGCAGCAATTTGGACAACCATTTTTCCATTTTTCGTCACCTTCAATCTCATATGCGGTTTATGCTTTATGAAACTTCGTGCTAATGACATTCATAGCAGAACCATACCGTTACGTGATAGTTTGGAGGTACGGTTAATGCTGCACGAGCTTTGTTGTTTGCGCATTATGAACAATAGTAGAGTGACTTAACAGAGTTACACGCCTATTTGTGTCCCCCAGATTCTTCCCGTTGACCGGTGATTGTTGATGGCAGGGTTACGGTAGAAAAAATTGACCGAGAGAAAACCAAAGCCGCAGGAGTCCCTGGAAATGGTAATCGCGGGTTCGAATTTGCCCTGAGATCCAAATTTTACAAATGTCTCAGAATTATTGTGATTGTATTTCACATAATAACCAACCCTGCACAAGAAATAAGCAGTGAATAGAAATTTAAACGAATGTAACAATTAAAAATGATGATTGCGAAATGAGTCTTTGGAGCGGCAGGTGAAAAGTAGTTAGGAGATAATTCTTCCGTTCACAACAAAATGATGAGCTTACATTTAAAGAAACGCTATCTGTAAATGTGCTTTATTGATAACAATATTGTCGTAGAGAAATATTATTAGTATAGTTATGTAAAGCATCACGGTTCTGAATTGACATCACTGAATCATTTAAATTTTTCCAAACGAAACAAATTGCATGAAATTCAGGTACTCCTATTCTGTCGTCTGGACGAGAGCACTCAACGTATGCCTCTCAAGAAAGGGCTGCAACCGTTACGTCCTCACCGACCACAAAATATAGTGTCACCTTCGCTGCAGCTTCTACTGCCGAAACCCCGTCAGCCCTACCCAAAAGTTCTCCAGCAACAATAGCAGCAACAGAAACAACGTCAACAACGGCAACCGCAACCACAACTACCACTTTTGTTGAAAACATCATCGAAAATAAATCAAATACCACCGAACCAAGACTAGCGGATTTAACGGTATTTAATGATATTACTCACGAAAGAGTGATGAAAAGTGTAGAAACCAGTCCTAAAGGAGTTCAGGAAGTCGAGAAGCCTATTCTTAACAATGCGGTTGATGAGAAAAGCCAAACTGATATTCAAAAACATGCCAATGGTAATGATGTGAAGCCGTTGTTATCTATGCCAGTTATCGATTCAACTACAGATCTTAACATCTCAACGACAATATCGAGTACTTCACCGGCAATACCGCATTTGCGCACAACGCTTCCTGAGAAAACGAAATCGTATCGCATCCATGCCGTAGCGAATACGATGCCAACTAGTTTCGTTTTTAGCGCACCGAATTTCGCACAAGGAGATGCGACTACATCGTTGCACTCCTCGAAAACCCTCCTGAACAACGTAGTTAGGACAAAATCATCACAGTCAAGCTACGAGAAGGTGAGCATTCAAGGCAGGCAGAGTCGTCTGCGTAGACTGAAAATGTTGAATCAACGGGCAAGAATCAGGCCGCTGGCTGTAGTGGCGGTCGACAGGGAACACGATGAACAGGTGCGTCGTTGTCAAACTTTCCAATTCAATATGTAATATTTTTGTAAACAAACAGATACCCATTTTCCTTTTGTAACCAAAATTTAATGCATCTTGAAGAACAGACGGTTTCTTACTTTGGCAATTCCGAACGATGTTCCATTAGCTCGAAAATATGCATCCACTGTCGAAACATATCAAGTTTTTCATGCAAGAACTGTATATTTGTTCAATAAAATCCGTAGATGATTCCAGAGAATATCTTAACAACAGAACAAGGACGCGTGTGGCGCAGTGGTTGGAGGCGCCACTGCGACACATACGTGGAATCGATCACCGCGCCCATGGCCCACCAAGCCTTCCATCCCTCCGGGGTCGGCATATTGGTACCAGACGTGTCTGGGAGGATAGCAACACTGGCTCCATACATCGGCAGGCCACCGCGAGCCATTGTAAAGGCCACATATGCACTCGATCACCTCCAAACGATGCTCAATGAAGTCGAATCTATGGCGCATCGCTCAGGGATTGATCAACGCCGAGAGCTTTATCCTTTTTATCTTTTATCTTAACAACATGTTGGTTGAACATGAGCACTCATAGGTCATCCATGAAAGGATGTATTTAGCTCACCAATGAAAGAGTGCATCGACGGTTTTCTTTCTACTAAGGAACATGGTCGCATTTTGTTAAAGACGACATTTCCTATAACTTTTAGCTACTTCTTCTCACTAGTCGTCTTTATTTCCGAATTTCTTCTTTCCATTTTACCCGTCCTTATAATATCGCCATTCTCACTTCAGACGAACTACCCGAAACATTTGGAAAAAGAAATTGATGAACTACAGAAGCGTATTTACCTTCCAAAGAATAAGCTCGCCGTCGTGTTGAAGACGACAAGTCCTGCTCCTGATAAGGTGCTTTGAATATCTTACTTTTTTTGTTTTCTTCATATACGCTGTTGTCCTCAATAGAAACGGCTGATCCTTACAGCAGATAAGTACCAGTTAGTGAAAGATTGGCCTTTGAAGACGACACGACAAGAAATTGTATTTGCAGATGAAACCGTGCCTTAATGACTTTCCAAGCTTCTAAATGAAACAAAAATGCAACAGACAAAATTAGTTTCCTTCTTCTGCTTCTGGCACTTCATTACTTTAGATTTATTGCATTTATTACATTACATCACTATAATGAAATAATTGCAAAGGTACAACTATCACTAGATATCTAGTATACCCTCATGTTAGAACAAACGACCATAATGAGACTTCAATAGAAAGATCACTGAAAAGCTCCAAATGTGAATAGCTTATTTTTTAGAGGGTCGAAGACGACACCGCACTTGCTCTTTCGTGGATGTTCGCCAATATGGCGAAAATGATGAAGGAAAAGTCAAGTGGAACAGTCTCCGGTGGTCCTCGACAAATTCGTCACATCACTGATAAGGCACATTGCATTCCTACTTGTCATAATGAAACCAATTTCGGTATCCCGGTCGTAGACGCTGCTTATAAAGAGCGGCATTCCTATTTTCGGGTCGCATTTCTGGCCATTGTTCAAAGAATGCCGCATTAATTATACAGCAGTCATCCCTGAGTACTTGACATTAATGCACTTGCCTAAAGTGCGTTGAAATCCGTGTCCGTCGTAAAGGGAGTATCGTAGCCATCCTCCCAGGTCAAGTGATGAGTTCAGAACAAGTGCCAAAGATTCTGAAATTTCTCACGCATAAGACTGCCCATCAACTTTCTAATACCTAACATTTTCTAGTAATATTATTCTTCTCAGACAATCAATAAAATCAATGCACTTCTACCAATGCGGCTTTTCAAGATTTTTGGATGTGATAACGTCAAAGAAAGAATTTGTAAATGCACCTTAGTGGTAAATGTTTTCTTACGAGGGAAGTTGACCAAATATTTGAAGGAAGCGCAGTCATTTGCTGATAGGTTTTCTGACCAAAACTACTGAGGCAGACCCTTGCACTCCAAGTCGTTCATTTCCTGGAACATCATCTGTGAAAGGCAACGTTTCCATCGTTGCTTACCAGATCTCGTGCTTTTAATCGATGTTTGGCTCAGAGTTTGAAATTTTTAGCGTATTTTGTCAATTTTACGATAACGCTTGCCTACTGTAACGATTTCACTAGGATTCGCTAGGTCATAGTGGTCATAGTTCTTCCTAACGGTTTATCACGTCATCGTGGTTAGGTTTTCTTGGGTGTGAGGCTGCAATGTACAGCGGGGATTCATCCTTCCACTCTCCCTTTCCCTCCACCATCACTCCGAAGGTCTCCCAACCTAAAAAGAAGCCCAGTTAAGAGTAAACCAATAACAAGGTCCATCGCCATCCTGGTATCAAATTAGTCACATGGTGGTAAATCTCTCTCTGATCCACAAGGGCGGCGACTGCATGTGATAGTGACGACCTGGGGCAGACTTTGGCTAGGTTAATCTCGGGGCTCCAGGAAACCACAATGGCTAAACCAGCAAAACTCCGAAAAAACGGAAACTGTGTTGGGCCCCGCAGAACCAGTGAGGACGGGTCATCCGTGTTTAAGCATAGCAGTTGGTTACATTTCCCATGGATATCAATATTTTTGTAACCTTCTTTTTAACTTTTATTCACCGCCTATCCTTTTGTTCTCGGCAGAAAACAATGCGAAATGCAACCAACCAGTAGTTGTTTTCAAATGCTTTGCAACAAAAGGTCAAAGAATTGGTTCGATAAAGATGTTCTTTGAGTTAATTGGACCAAAGGCATTTGAACTGTCTGAGGCCGTTATCAAAGGCGTTGAAGATTGCCACTTTTTAGGACCTGTAGTTCGAGATATTTTTAATCATTAAGCATTTTTTTCGTGTAATATTTATCTAATTAAGACCAATTAGTGATTACTTTCCAAGGAATATTAATATCCAGTGAGCTGCTACCTGCAGGATGTCCTCCATCCTCCGTCGCGTGTCGAAGTGTTCTCGGAACAAGAAAAATTTATTTTGAAACACGACGACTCCATCGATCCTGTATTCAAAGTTGACAGACAAACTGTGGACGAAAAGACGAGAACATCTCGTCAAAAAGGTAATGTAACGGAAATGCGCTAAGAAACCTTTCAATGAAAGCATCTGAAATACAATTTTTAGTCCTATAACTTGTATTTACTTTACCTTCTTTTTTATGCTATGGGTAAATATGAAACACGATCGCAATGAAGCCTAAATATGAGCAAAATTTTGGACCCTATGTGAGCGTCGAGCCTCCGTTTAGCCGCAGTCTCGTTTTTCATCGCACCAACCAATGACATTGCTCTGCCTTTCTCTCAGCCTTGTTTTAACTTTTTCGGTACTAGTAACCACCCGTCAACGGTAATGAGCTTCCGTCTGATTTACCCAGTTTTGCTCATATCTCAGCATCCTTGTGGTTGTATTATATTTCGTACCCTGCCATGAAAATGGAATAGGCAGTAAATACAAGTTAAAACAGTGTGATTTCGAGTGCAGCTCCAAGTTAATTGGACCCGTTGTCGACTTGTGCTCCATAGCTCATTCCCGTTGACGGGTGATTGCTGATAGCACCGATAGAGTTAAAACAAGGTTGAGAGGAAGGCAGAGCAAGGGTCTCGGTTGGTGTAGTGGGCATCATTCGAGCCACCGCTAATGGTAATTGCAGGTTTGAAGCCACGTAGGAACCGGCTTTTACTCCAACATCTGCCACTTTGTCGTTATAATGATTATGTTTCAGTAACACAGCATGTTAGGCGCAGATAGCACAGTGGTTGTGACGACGATCATAACGAGCACGGTGCTGATTCAAGACCACCTTGGGCTCACCAAGCATCTCATACCCCCGAGGCCGGGAAATTGGTAGCGGACTAGTCCTAGAAGAAATCACTCTCTGTAACCCAACTGGAAATTCTGCAGCCCGGCTAACTCAGGACACCAGGGAGAACCAACTCGACCATCACTCTACGACATTCAAGATGAAATGAAGGTCCTCGAGCAGTAGCCAAAGGCACACGAAAAAAAAGATCAGAACTGATACTTGGCTCAGAAGGAATACCTTGACCAGAGACAATAACCTTTCGTAGCAGTCACATTCGTTTCATTAAAGCAGTTCTGTTCTCAGCAAATGTTAACCAAAGGATTCGATTATTGAAAATCTACCTTTGTAGTCCGACTTACGTCTGTAATTTTTTAAAAAGCTGCACGCTCCACTTTCTATGTACAAAACAGTGGGATCTCAAAGCAGTGAAGTGATGATTTTAAAAACCAAACTGGTTCCTAGTCAGGCCAATAGTGTTCAGTGTACCAACGCAAGTGATTTACTTAAATGTAACGTTTTTCTTTTTTATCTCAATATAGATGTTTTAAGGACTTTAAAAAGTCCTCATTATAGGCACCTGCCTTTGTTAACAGAAAAAAGATTTCCCTCCCACCTTTATGGGTCAATAGCTGGCCATCTGGTTAGAAACATCGAACCTCTTAGATTTGGTAACCTTTTTAATGGAGAATCTCCGCTGCATGCCGAAACTGGACACCCAATAATAGCCCTACCCACGATGGACCGGTAAGCTAGTGGTAGAGAGCTCTAACATATTTCTTTATCAATTATTTACTAGAAGACCCGAAGTTCACATCTCCTAATATTGTTAATTTCGTGAAGATGCTAAAAGATGTGACAATATTCATGCATTTAATGATCTCCATATTACGACTGGTTGGGTTTGGAAATGAATCGCCAGCATCAGTCGACACATCATTGCTCAACTCCGGTTGAATTCTGGAGTTTGACTACCATTCATGACCAAGTTCGATTGGTGGATTCCATACAATATCCAATGCCGCTAAGAAACCGGCATCTTGTCACCTATTCGGAAGACGGGAGAACCAAAATCAAACCACACTACCACTAGTGAATTGGAATAAATATCGTGTCAATGGTGCTCAGTTCAATGGGCAAATACTGATGGGGATAAGAATGTAGTCGAGAAACAGCTTTCCCAAGTGAACTGAAAGTGCTCAATTCTGCTACACCACAATGCAGGAGCACATATTGCACTAGCTGTGGGAAACAAGCTACTACAGATTGAGTACAAAATCGTTCCTTATCCTCCTTCCTCATTAGACCTGTTATTTACGGATTGTTGCTTCTTCTAATGTCTAAGTAATGTTCTTCTCCAGAAAATACTCGCCAATCAGGAAGTAGCGAAAATAACCTGCGACTTCTTCATCGTATCCACAAATTTAACTTTCATTGCAGATGTGTAGATATAGAACGGGGCTATTATGGACTTTTAAAATCGACGAGTAAAACCTTCACATTGCTTCTTTCAGTTGAATGGTCTGACTGGTCGACTTGCAACTGCGGAGTCCAAAGCCGCAAAAGCGTTTGTCTAGTAGTTAGCGTATCTCGGCCTCCTCGACGACGTTCTGGTATGTTCAAACAGTGTTAAGATTTGTATTTAATTCATGAGACTCTTCGTCCCACATTGTGAAGTGAGCAACAAAGTGTGTTATGTTCTAATTTGCCTCTTGCATTTCTTTCTATGTACTACTATGCTTCATACGTCTATATATTTTATGTGTTATAATAGGATACTCTGGATAGGGTAATCAAGCGAAAGATTAATATTCAGAATATGGCCGACGGCATAGACGATCGACTACTGCATGCCTTGCACCTGAGTATGAGACGCGATCCTGTCACTCAGACCGATGTCAGTTATGACATTAGAAGCATATGGATACGATCCACAGTAAGACACTTTATACCCCATTCTCAATATTTCTATTGTGTTGGTGTCACCAATTACACCTTGTAAAAAAAGGCTTGCGATTCAGGAAAATGGGCAGTTATACTTCACACTATGTATGTCTTATTAAATAGGCAATGATATGCTATCACACTATATTGATTCAACGCATTCCTTTCGCTAGCCTTGATTTTCGGTACAAGGCCATGGTTAGCAGCCGCAAGAAATCAGTATTAATCAGTATCCTTTGGCACCTTTTAAGATGATATGTAACATTGTACGCAATAATTCAACTGGTCTGTGTGACCCTTCACGCAAGACATCAAATATTAACAAGTTTCCCAGTTTGGGAATAAAATAATTCGTATATGTGAACTTTCTTTGGTAAGAACTGTAGTACTAACAATGGCCTCAAAATAAGTACAACTAAGAGTAAGAACCATTGTATTATGTGACTTAAGGCACTCTCCATATATAATGTGATATGGAACAGAATAGATTTGTAGAAAGTGTAAAACAATCAGTAAACTACAACATAATAAACATCTTCATTCACAAAGTCTGAGAGAAGACCTCTACACATTTTGCCGGTTCCTACATGGTAGCCGCTGCAACAGTGGTGCCATTGAAGCCGACCTCCGTTGGTTTCAGGTCAAAATAAGATATAATGACCTGGAAAAAAGCATACTTCTGAATTCCCAATAATTGCTGTTCTTCCTCAAATATCAAATTTGTGACCCATATCCTTTGAAATGAAGGATAAGAGAACAACAGTAAAAACACTTCCTCCAATTCCCTCGTCTAACTTGTGGAGTTATTTGGAAACCTCATTGTTCTCGAACCTTTTCCTTCTAAAGCGTATCAAAGCGTTCTGTAGTACTTACACCAGATATACTAAAGTTCTGAGATTTGGATACAACAGTATGAGCAGTGAAAACATATATAGCAAATGAAGGCAGGTAGAAAAGTGGCTGGGAGAAACACTAAACAAGAGCCTCTGTGGTGCAATGGCGTAATATGCGATCCCCCAGGAAAGGGTAATCGTGGTTCGATATGGCTCGAGATCCAAGTTCTGTGAATATCTCTGCATCGTAATCGGTTGCATTTCACATGATACGCTGCTGTGAAAAATAAAGTAGGCAGCAAATAAAAGGTTAACATTGTGATGCCAAATGAAGTTAACACATTCATGACCATCTTTGGCTATCGCAAACAGCAGCACGGGATTAAACCCTATTTTTTTACTGCTCATTTTTATTAACCCGAAAAAAATGACCACGTTCTTTATATTCCTTGGGTATGACCCATTTCCAATTATTCTGAAACAATTCCTGCTTGTTATGAACAGATCTCCCTAGTGAACAAAAAAAAAGGAAAACGAAAATCGAACTATTGCGTTCATCGGCACTTAGCAATCGACATCTCTCAAGTCAATTCGATTACCTTGACTCTCATAGTGATAGAAAAGAAAAAGCAATCAGTTACTGGCCAAAAGTCGAATTTCATACCCTTGAACTATATCAGAAGAGCAACCGAATTGCATTGTCCCGTTATCAAAAGCGAACAGCAAGAAGGTTAATGAACAGTAAGGAATGCTCAACGTCGAGGAGTCTAAAGAAAATAATTCGGAGTACGAGGACGAAAGTGATGACGATGACAAAACTGGAGTGGGTGGCTAAGCAATGATACGTTATCATAGACAATGAGAAGAAAACAACCAGTTGTAAGAGTCCACAACTGTTGAAGAAAATATACGACCTTTTCATTACTGCCTTCAGACAAAAAATTGTTGGATCACCTCGGCTAAACTGCTGAAGTTTCTGCCCTATATTTCAATCCCGTTGGATAGAAATTAATGACAAGATCCAGATCTAAGAAACAGCTGACCCATCATCACTTGGCCAACAATGTGGTCTATGATATGTAAGATAGGTTATAGAACATTGGCCAACTTTTTGAAACTATGGGTTGACATTGCAAGTGCCTGCAGACCTGAAAATGTTGGTGTTCTTAAGACGCTCGTATCGGTTAGAAGGGCTACTCGTCTAAGGAACAAATTTTTGAGAGCTACAATCAGGAAATATGTTTCTGGATGCGAACGACTAAAAAACGTCATATTCTGCACATATTAGGGAAACTAGCAAGTAATACGTGTACTATACCACTCCATGGTTATGTGTACGGTCTTTTTTCTATGCAGTTGCTCAAACCTGTTTGGTAAATGCATGTAGACTCGTGAGGGTCAAGAAGTGCATTTGAGTTCAAAATGACTGTTTTCCCATAGCATCGAGTAGTCATCTTCTTGAGATCGGTCCAGCATCAAAGGAGACGCTGTGTTGATAACGATAACAATATCAAAAATATCACGACCCCTGGTGTTTTGTCATAACTACCAACTGGCTCGGCAATAGATGAAGGTAATGTAATAAACTTCCAATCTAGCATCGAGCAAGTATCGCCTATAAACATCACAATGCTGAAATATTTACAAAACTCCTGAACGCTAGTGTCTGCGGTGAGGACCGAACAGGCTATTACCCTTTCCGGAGGCTAACGCATTCATCACCACCCCATGCAGCCCTTCGTTTCGCCTTTCTTTCAGCCTATTGTCTAAAAACTAGTACGTCCGTGATAGCCGAAAATGAGGCGTGGTCCAATGCTCCGGCCACGCAAAATGAGGTGTAGTCACGAAAAGGTTAATAAAATCTGCTAGAAGTGAATTATAAAAACCTTAAGCAATAAGGATAGCAAATTATTAGGACATTAAAGAAAAACTGTGGCAGAAATAACTGAAAAGAAATAAGCTCTGCATGACACATTCCGTCACGAATGCATTTTTTCTTAGAACGAAACTCCTTTTACAATCCATTACCAGAAACTGATATAACCAATAAATATTTATGCCCATGAGCGCAGAAAAGGTTTTTTTCTCGTCCTTTTTGTCTTATCGACGCCCGTACCTCAAACAACGAAGCGAATAAACTCACAAAATTGCATGCGCACTTGCGCTTCTGATTTTCATAAACTTTAGTTCTTAGAAATTCTAAAGTTAAAGTGACATTTCAAAATAAACATTTGTATGACCGTGAAGCGATAGTTCAAAGCCTCTTTTACGAGCTTGTCAAGTCCTCAGATTGTCAAGTACTCTAATAACTGAAGAATTATCAGCAATTATCAAAAAGCTAGACGGTGACAGCGCAGTAGTTAGCGAGCCATTGATCATGAAGTAAAAGGCGCTAGTCCGACCCCCGCAGCAACGCTCTCCCTCAATCCACGCGGCAATGGCCTAACTCGGTTATCTCAAAGATTGCAAGGAGAATTGACTCCACCAGCATTCCACGGCATTTATAAACAAAACGAAATCCTCAAGCAGCAGCAGAAACAACATACGAAATGCTCGAAGACCATTCTGCACGGTGAATGTGAGGGAAACAAATTGAATGCAAGAAGTGCTGGGATCTGCACTGTAGATGTGATGAAGGGTTATGTAAAATAAAAAAATATATATAGGAAAGTAGCACCATCAAAAAAGTGTTAAGAACTAATCGTTTGCCGCTTAGCCTTAAGAGACGTCTCCTCCATTGAGAATGAAACATCAACAAAGCAAACAAAGGTGGAACCGTCATAGAGATCACAAATATTCAAAAATACCTTGTCTTGAGCCACCTTTAAGATCTCTTGACAGAACTTTGTTATCTTTTGCGTATGTCGGATGTTGTCATCAGGAGAGAGAGCGCCGATAGATTCTACCTGCAAAACGAACAATTTACTTACTTGGAGACTTCGATGGCCCGTCCTCACTGGTTGTGGAGGCCCAAGAATAATTTCCATTTTTTCGGAGTCTTGTTGGTTTAGACATTGTGGTTCCCTACAGCCCCAAAATCAGCCTAGCCAAAGTCTACCCCACTTCGACACCACCACAAGCCGCCGCCGTCCTTGTGAATCAGAGGGATTTTCCACCATACGACTGGTTTGGTACCAGAACGGTGGTGGATAAAGGTATTGATGTATTCTCAGCTGGACTTCGTGATGGAAACGTCGTACTGCTTCTCGGCTTGGTAGAACCTGCTGGGGATGAATCCGCCCCGCTAACTTGTCACGCCTGGACACTTCCTAGCCACGATCAGGCGTTAAACCGCTGGGAGGAATTCTCATACTACTAGACAATAACCCTCCATTCCCGTTAGCCTCATCGTATTATTGCATTTGTTTCCTAATCTAAATATAAAAATGGAGTTGTGGAGAATGGATCGAATACGTATAGCCTGCGAATAGTGTGCTGACGGTACCACTGGTGGCACTCGTGCGAATGGCAATCTAAGACTAAACAAACTATGTATATTGATCAGTCCACATTTCGTACTATAAAATACTTGGATTCCATAAGAATAGTAAATTTGCCATTTATAACATGCAATTCACCTTCATAATAACAACAGGATTCCGTGAAGCTCCATGAGTGATTCTCTGGCCTGCCATTATCTCAATCGCAATTCGGTTTCGCGGTTTATTCATGGATTCTGCTATGAGGTCAGTAAGACGCTCCTGTGAGTGAACACATGTATGTGTATGTCCACGTATACGCACATATATATATATATATATAAATTATATAAATAAAGTATACAAAATCTGGAAAAAGCTCTTGGAGTTGATCAATCCCTGAGGGATGCGCCATGTACTCAATTTCATTAAGCATCGTTTGAAGGTGAATGAATTCACATCTGGCCCTTACAGTGGGATTCGCAGTGACCTACCGATGTATCGAGCCAGTGCTGCTATTCTCCCAGACAAGTCCGGTACCAATTTGCCGCCCTGGGGGAATGGAAAGCTCGGTGAGCCTGGGGATCGGTTCTACGTTTATCCCAAGGCGCCTCCTACCACTGCGTTGCACGCGTATATATATGTGTATGTATATATGCATATATATGTACAAATTATATATATATATATATGTTGAGTAAGCTAGGAAAGATCATATACTCATCAAGGTTGGACATAAAAACAAACCTCAAAATTGGCTGGAATGTCCTTATCTGGAACATTTGTCGACACTCTAATCATCGGCATCGTTGAAATTGCTTCAGCACTGCGAATAAAACGTTAGAAAACTTTTACAACAGTGCTCTTACTGAGTTTAAAATAACCACAGTATAAAGAAGACAGAACTTGTAAAGTTCGGTTGATTTAAAATTGAAAAACACGACACTAAGTGCCTTTTGAGGTCGCACAATCTTCTCTCGAAAGTGAACAACAAAAACAATGGGAATTCAAAAGAAGATCCTAGTACTACACTGATATCATTGGTCTCCGCGTGACGTGTAGGAAAGCAACGTGGCACGGGGCACCATTACAGCAATGGGACCTGGTAAGGAATCCGCCCATATCAGAAATCGATATCGAACTGACTTATCGAACATATAAGTGACTTATCTAACTCGCTGACCAACAGTGAGTTTGACCGGATAGTTCCAACTACAGAGGACTCGACACTGTGCGCAAGACACTGGCTTGCACCTAAGATGTAACCCTGATGATCTCGGAGCAGCGGGACTCGGATCGTATAGTCCAGGCCCCAGGTGAAACAAGAGTGTGCGCAAAATACGAACTTGCTACTAAGATATAATCCTGATGATTCTAGACAGAGATATCTCCTAATTTTCAGCCACGATACTCCACCTGAAACATAAACTACGGCCCAAACATGTTATGGAACGAAGTACCTCCAGAAAACCATCAGCGTAATTCCAAAGAGAAAAAATAAAGTAGAAAGTGTATTGTTACCAGTGAATGAATCCCAGAAAAAAAAGCTCCTTTAAACCCACAAACTGAACTATTCTGAGTTACCGGCAGCGTGATAAACGAAGAACATTTAAAATTAAACTTATTTTTATTCGGCCTACCAATAGATAACGATGAATGAAATCCATACAAAAAATTTGGCATGAAAAAAGAAGTCATATTCCCGATATCGGTAAACAGCAGGGCAAAAATTACACTTTTGATCAATAAAATGACTTCAAAACAACAATTTCTAGTCGGTCGTTGCGAGTGGATTTTTCAGCACCAGAATGACCGAATCGCCACGAAGAAACATCTTTGAGATGAAACGGTCCTTCGGAACCGCCTTGGCCTAAATCACTTAAGTCAGACGGCTTATTCCCAACTTTATAAATGAGACTAACTTGACACTTTTGAAGCGTTTTAACACTATTATCTCAAATAAAGTTGTAAAGACTGAACGAATTATTGCACAGTTCATAACGGAATTGAAAACTGTCGCACATCAGTCTACATCAATGAAACAAGTCAGAAACACCTGCCCATTGAAAATCAATATCGAAATGACAAATTAAGAAGGTAACCATGATGATGCTGAGATATTTGCAACACTCCGGACCGCTGGTGCTAGTGGTAGGGTAATACGCTATTACCCGTTCCGGTGCTAACACGTTCACCACCACACCATGCGAGCCCTCCGTTTGCATAGGAGCTATCAGCAATCACCCGACAGCGGAATCGATCTGGTGAGCTCAAATCGGCATCGAACCCAGTTAAGCTGAAGCTGTGGTGTAAATTACAATGTAGTCGCTTTTTACTTACAGCCTATTCTTTTCTAATGACAGGGTATGATGTGTATCATTGTAGTTGTATTTCACATAATACACTGCCATTCAAAAAGAATAGGCAGTAAATAAAAATTTACATTGCAAGAAGGTAAGATTTCGATACTCACTGCACTTCACAGCAGACTACCACTGATGCACCATAAAATTTCTATGTAACAGAAGTGTAAGTGTATTGAAGGTTAATAAATATTCTTTTGCAAGCCCATATGAAAACATGGAAGGCGACATTTGTTGCACATGATGAAGACCAGATTTTGGTAAAAACTGGAGTCGTAACCTACTAGAAAGCAAAAACGTTACAATGCTGGATTTACTCCCATGTGATCAGGAATTGAAAAAAAAAAAACAAATCAAGCGTAAAAATATAGTGATTCCCATGACCGACTTTCTGTTAACCCTTGCATTGAGCAAATAGTTCCCGATATTCCTGTTGAGCAAACACGAGGTTTTACTTTACTCCTTATTCCGTTAAAGTTGATGTTTCGGCAGTATCACCTTCTTCAAAGCCTGGAAAACAATATACTCTGACAGGCTCTGAAGAAGGCGATACTGTCAACACGTCAGCTTTAACGGAATAAAGAATAAGGTAACACCCCGTGTTTTCTCAACAATAACATCGAGAACTATTTAAAAAACACAGCTTCAAAATTGAGTAAATATACAAGTGTAATTCCGTCCATTACAAAGATAAACGCAATAATACATGGCCTAGTGTGCTACTTGTCACTACTTGAGCACCCACCTTCTTCTTCCCTTTTCCCGTCTTCGGCTGTTCCGTCCACATCTCTTTCACATTCTCCAGAACCATGTTGCAATGCCTAAAATACTCCCGACGTGAAAAATTCTAAACTAGTCGAATAAAACTCAGACGAAATTTCCAATTCAAGATTTTCACATCAAAAATAGTTGGAACACCTTTTACAATAAGTTATTATAGCGGTACGAATATCCGATTCAAATATTATTTTGAACGACTGTTATTTAGGAGTAAACGGCACTTCATTCTTGAGTTTTTTCATACGTAACTGACACAGAAAGAAAGCACACAAGTTTTTTCGTTTAGCAGTTTAGTTTTTCGTTTTAGTACAATTCGTAATCAACGGACAATCATCACTATCATAAACATCTATCGCCCTGTATAAAATTACGTCGCTGGGTGCGTATGGTTCATTCGAGAGATGCTCCACGAAGATGAAGACGCCACATCGAAAAGAGGAACATTTGTGGATTATCGACTCGAATCATCGGCTAATGAAGACAAAGACGTCGAAACGTTAGTCAAACAAAATACAAAATATTCATCAACCTCGTGTAAGCTTAGCAAAGAAAGCACAAGCGTCAGGTCCAAATTACCCGTACTTTCATAATGGAGATGATGCTTCCAAACAAGTACTGAAAATAGCGACTACGTAAACAACAGAAAGACACTATCCACACAAACCATCACATAAAGTTAGTGTATGGTTGCAGAACTAAAGCGTGTAGTATCCATACGCCTCATCGAGAATTCACACATCCTGTCACGAAACCATCAGGAAGCCCAGGCAACGGCAAACCAATACTAGGATCCACCACCGTCCCAGTTCCAAACTAGTCGCATGGTGGCATATCTCCCACTGATCAATAAGGGCGGGGACTGCCTGTAGTGATGACGACCCGGGGCAGATATTGGCTAGACTAGGGACTCCAGGGAGACAGTTAAAAAAGCAAAACTCCGAAAAAATGGAGATTATGCTGGCGCTAGCACAACCAGTGAAGACAGGCCGTCCAAATGTCCAAGTAAGTATTCCAATATGGAACGTAGAAAATCACCCTTAGTCATGTAAAGTTGCAGAAAGATATGAATCAATCCTGCGTACACTAACTTCAGACATGAAGCTACATATGACTTAAGGCAACCTTTTGCTCACTTTTACTGTGCTCCTAGATGTGGTTGGCTATTGGAGAACGTGTCACATAGACTCTAGAACAACCTGGTTCGAAATCCCTCATGTAAGGAAAATACGAATACACGAGATTGAAACTGTATGAATTGAAGTAGTATATTGCAGATAACTTCTATACCGAGGACGAACATGGATGAATATGCACAAGTTATTAACCAAGCCTTTTTCCTAGCACGTCAATCCATAAAGGGTGGTTAATGTTAAGACTATTTGCTCAACTTCAGTCCCTATTAAAGCCAGCAAACATACTTTATAAGCAGATGGTATCAAAAGGTCTAAGCACACCTATCAAAAGCTTTCACTCTCCCAAGAAGCTTCTTGTTGTTCCTGCAGTTGATTAGCACCTAAAATTGTGTAAAATTTAAAATAACAACGAAAACATCAGAATGAATACAACTTATGCTTTACCTGTGCATTATTCTTTACTGAGTTATTGAGAATGGACAACGGTCCAACATTAAATTCTTCTTGTTCCTTTGCAGCCAGCTCCTCCTGAGTCATTTCAGCACGAGGTTTCACCATTCTTAACAAACAGGAACTTCTAGGTTACTCGGTGAATAGTCGTAATCACGAAGAAGGTTCCCAAATACTTTACATCTACACTCACTACTCTATCCAATATGCCTGTCCAATATTTATTTGAAGAACAAGTTTGTACATGTATGTAGAATCGAACTCATAACTGTCTAAAAAAGTTCTCCGCGTTGATCAATTCCTGAGAGAACGGCCATGCAGTCGACTTTACAAGCATCGTTTGGAGGTGACTGCATGCATATCTGGCCTTTACAATGACTCGCGGTGGTCTGCCGATGTATCAAGGCAGTGCTCCGAGAGACAAGTCTGGCACCAATTTGCCAAACCCGGAGGGATAGAACGCTCGGTGGACCATGGTCGCGTAGATCGATCCCATGTGTATCGCAGGGTGCGTCCGATCATTGCGCCATACGTGCCTTTGTGGACACATGCAACCCTTACTGCCCTACATAAAAATGACTTCCGTTGGAAAAAATTTAACCAACAACTACGTGATAATCATGTCAGAATGTCCAACTAATCAGATGAGAAGAAAAACTTCAACGATGCTGAGATATTTGTAAAACTCCGGACCGCAGGACCATCCCCCACCGCAAACACCTGCGGTCAGTTTTGCAAATATCTCACCATCATTGAAGTTATATTTCGCAATATACCCTGCCCTTAAAAAGAGCAGGCAGTAAGTAATAAGTTAAAATTGAGGAGAAAAAACTTACGTAGCCATGATCCTCGGACTTCACTTGGTGAAAGATGATCTGAAACCACATAATACAATAGAAAATTTGATGAGAAGTAAGAACAAACGAAACTAATATGCGTAAAACAATGTGAAGGAAACGTATCATGGATTCATATCTTGGAATTTCAGGACATGTGGTCAAAATGCACTTCGTTACAATGCTCTCCGATTAGAGAGAAGGTTATGCCTCATGATCGACTCATGAAAAGAGATGGATCCAAAAGATGAATGACTTCCAGGAAATTTCAAGGCGTTCAAAACCTGCAGTAGTAGAACATCATTACAAGAATTCCCAAGAATGGTTCCTAAGTTCGGGAAATTCGAACCAACGCCACTCGCGGCGCGCGGCTGCGTAGCGGTTGTGTTTCGTCGTGCATGGTGCAGAGCCCAGTGTCGTTCGTTTAGGACATCGCGGCTCATCCACACGCGACAACGAAGTTGTTAACGATTTGCCAAGATGCGTCCGCAGCTGGTTAGAAATTCTTCTGGTCGCACATAACGAACCTCGAAACACGGGAGTGGTCCGGGACCTCCGTACGCCTATGGTATGACACGCATGCTACAAAGAGGTGGGAGAGGGTGGTCCGGCCCATATCACCGCCATGCCACATTGATTCAGGGCTCGTCCCATTGACCAACCACGCGTCCAGGAAAGCATTCCTTCCGATCTGGGTAGAAAATTGCACTCTCAAAGGTGTGCGTGGCATGAAATCTCTTCCAGTCATACCATCGCGCAGAACACTTGGCATGGGCGTGGAAGATGTCGTAAAAGGCACTGTTTGGGACAATACCCACTTAGCACAAGGAACGTGTCGTGGCTTGAAGTGATCCTGGGTGTTCACGAGGGGATCCAAACGGTTTACCGCCTCGTCGTGCCTGGGAGGTGTTCCTGGGTGTTGGGCTGCGATGTACAGCGGAAAATTCGTCCCTCAAGCTGGGTCTCCCAAACTGAAAAGGAGTCCAGTTTTTCTATCAGGAAACCCAACTAAGAATAAACCAATACCAGGACTCACCACCGTCCTGGTATAAAATTAGTCGCATGTTGGCAAATCTCCCTCTGATCCACAGAGGCGGAGAGTGCCTGTGGTGGTAACGACATGGAGCAGACTGTCGCCTGGCTGACCTTGGAACTCCAATGCTGGGGCCGTTAAAACCAGTGAGGACGGGCCGTGCAAGCATCAAGTAAGTATTTGAACGTAAGCCATGCGTATCCATTGTTCAAGAACGTGCAACATAAAAGTTCATTGGTTGCGACAAACATAACAGCAGCCTAAAACAATAACATCGAGGTTTACTACGATAATCAAAGAAACTGGAAGTAAAATTTACAATATTTACAACGAGGTAACAACGTAGGAAACAGTTCATCAATAGAAAAAAGTGTTAAATGATGACGTCACTGGCTGAAGTCTCGGAATGGTATATTGGCCACTGGGTTTTTGTAATCTCGCACAGGGGATGGTGGCCTAAAAAACAGTAGATTAAACCCCACTTCAACTCTCCAAATTTTTTTCTCTTCAATTAACCCCATTAAGATGTAGAACGAATAAAGGTACTAATGTCAAACGAGTCTAACAGGCTTCTGAACTTTTGAACGATGTGCATAAAACGCCGTCATTAAAAGACAGAAAAACCTATTTTTACCCAGGAACATTACTACTCTTTCTTCCAGCCAGTTTTTTTACCTTAACGGTGCTACCGGCAATCACTCTTCAACGGTTGTGATCATAGGGTCATAAATCGACATTGGATCTAGTTAAGCTGATTCTGAGGGCGCGGATAGCACAGCGGTAGTGATATCGGTCATCACGAGCGTGGTGCTATTTCGATTCCAATCCGAGCCAACCAAGTCCCTCATCTTTCCGAAGTCGGGAAATTGGTACCGGACTTGTGTGCGAAAAACAATCACTCTCTGAAATCCAATTGGGAACGCTCCAACCCGTCTATCTCAGGGCTGCAGGGAGAATCGTTCGACCAACATTCTACGACATTCAAGATGAAATGAAAATCCTCAAGCAGCAACCGAAGCCACACGTAAAAGTTGGAAGATAATCTTGGATAGTGGATGCGAGGAAACGAATCGAATGTGAGAAGTGATGGGATTCGCACAGCAGACGTGAAGACGGGTCATATAAAGTAAAATAAAGTGAAATGATAATAAACTGATTCTGTAGTCGAAACCACAGTGTCTTAACTTTTGTGTGCTTTATGATTTTGCTTCCTTCTTCTTTAAACTGCCTAAGGGAAAGGCAAAACAATGGCCTCCGCTGGTGTGGTGAATAGCACACGAGCGCCCGTAAAGGGTAATCGCGGGTTCGAAGCCCAACTAAGTTTCCAAGTTTTGGTCATATCTAAGCATCCTTGTAGCTGTATTCCACATATTCCACATAGTATATACTCTACTATAAAAAAAATAGGAAGTAAAAGTTAAACATTATTAGCATCGCTAAGTTTGCCCATGTTAAGCGCACGAAAAGCTTTTGGAGAGCACGAGACAAATATGAAAAAAACACCCGGCTTGTAAATATGTATAAAAACAGAGATAAAGCTATTATTTCCTGCTGAAAACAGTACGCATTTTTGGCAATTCGACAAGATAAGAGTCCAGGACAACATATCGATGAAAACTGGACTGCCAATGAAAAAGGCAGAAACCTTGCAAATTCAACGCTGATTACCTGTACTTAGGACCAACAGGAGGAGCAGAGGTAGGCCATGCTACAACGGCACTAGGTGCACTAGGATGAAGGCTTATGGACGCATGAGGCGCGCTGCTAACATGGTGATAGAACTGTGGCGTTGGTGCTAAAAATAACGATACCATTTATCGGCAAACCTTTTTAGGTATAAATTAAATGAAAAAAAAATATGTTTTAGAGCTAATAACGCTCAGAATTCTTTCCAGTGGAGATTTCTATTAATATATGTCTGATAGCACTGGCATTAAACACGTTAACAACTAAATTATGCTATCCTTTCCAACAGTTCTAATAAAGATTTAGCTGATTCTCTGCTTCAGAAATCCCCTAACGTAAAGAATTCCCATGTGTTTAACGGAAGAAATATTTATGGTTAGGATAAAACGATCTAGAAACCTAGGGAGATCAAAAATAGCCAAATAAGTCATAACAGTGTCTCGTAAAAATAAAAAAGAAAGCACAAACCAATGCTATGATGAAAATGCTGTGTAGTCACCAGCTTTGACTGATCCGTTAATTCGCCAACTGTATAAGAGAAATGTTTAGAATAGAAGTGATCAAACGAAGTTTCTGCTTCTAACAAAAGAGGAAGCACAATGTTTAAAATATTTCAGACAATATGAAGACTCGTTTTAAAAAAAATGCGGTATTGGGTAGTATCTTCCCAACGGTTTACCGCTTAATCGTGTCTGGGAGGTGTTCCTGGGGTGGGGCTGCGACGTACAGCGGAGGAATTCATCCCACGGCATGGTCTCCTAAGCTGAAAAGGAGCCCGGCATTTCCATTAGCAAGCTCAGCTAAGAGTAAACCAATACCAGGATCCACTGGCGTCCTGGTATCAAATAGGCGCATGGTGGCGAATCTTCCTCTGATCCGCAACTGCGGAGACTGCCTGTGGTGGTAACGACCTGGGGCAGAGTTTGCCCTGGTTGACCTCGGGACGCCAGGGTACCACAATACTCAAGCCAGCAAAACTCCGAAAAACTGGAATTTATGCTGAGGCTCGCACAGCTAGTGAGGAAGGTAACCGCCCAAGCATCCAAGTATTAGGTAGTATTGTGTAAACGATAACCACTTAGGAATAAAAACGAAGTACCTAACAGTGAAACGATAAACTATTATTCGTAGTGCAAAATAATAGCCAAAATTAAATAGAACCTACGTTGTGCCTTTCTAAAATTTTCAATGACACACGGTAAGAAAGTGTTATCCTTCATGTGAACTGTTACCAAAGCCATAAGAAACTCCATAGGTAGGACATCATCTAACAACTGCCCTAAAATACTTTGGTAAAACGCCAGTTTTATATTTTTACGAACAACTAACTCAAAATAGTAACAAAACGAGCTGATAAATACCAGGGATCACTGCTTCAAATTAGCAAGACACTAATAATGACACTCCTCCCAACGGTTTACCGCCTCGGCGACTGGGAGGCGTTCCTGGGTGTCGGACTGCGATGTACAGCGGAGGATTCATCTCCTGGCAGGGTCTCCCAAGCTGAGAAGGAGTCCGGTGTTTTCATCAGGAAGCCTAGCTGAAGGTAAACCAATACCAGGATCCACCACCGTCTTGGTATCAAATTCGCATGATGGTAAATCTCCCTCTGATCCACAAGGGTTGCAGCCGCCTGCCGTGGTGACGACCTGGGGTAGACTTTGGCCGGGCTGTCCTCAGGATTCCAGCGAACCACAATGGCTTAACTAGCAAATCTCCGAAAAAGGGTGATTATGCTGGGACCCGCACAGCTAATGATGACGTGCTGTTCAAGTATCAAGTAGTAAGTAATAATGACACTATTCATCTCTGTAATGCTGCTTTCCCCTTCTAGTGAAATCAGACAAACCTGACTTTTAAATAAAATGAAACTCGCCAAAGGATATGACATGGTCAGTTTGATTATATACGAAATGGAGACAAAAAAAACCTCGCCAGAAGACTCTACTGTTCGTAAGAGTAAAATGTTTAGAGCTGACCAAACAACAAAGTTCAGTTAAGATAATAGTTTCCGAACATCAATAAGGACTCAACTAAATTAAAATGTTTTAATGACAGAGAAAATCAAACGCGTCTATAAATAGTTGGAACGACCATTTGAATGCAATAGTTAAAACTGAAACTTTAAAAACTATTCTAAAAGTTGCAAAAGGACTTGACATTCACCAGTAAGTGGTTGCCTGCTACCTGGAAGATACTGGTAACGTGAAAAGCGTTCGAAGGTTACTTACCACATCAATTTAACCGAAAACAAAAAGATCGACACTTATGAGCATTACCTAAGGTGCACTTGCAGCACTTCTGTGGGATGCGCCCTGGAATACACCTGGGTTCGATCCCCAAACCCCAGGCTCACCAAGCCCTTTATCTGTCTGGTGTTCGCAAATTGGTACAAGACTCGTCTGGGAGGATAGCAGCACTAACTCGATACATCAGTAGGCCACCGCGAGTCATTGTAAATTCCAGATATGCTTTCTGTCACCACCAACGATGCTTAATGAAGTCGAATGCATGGCGCATCCCTCAGCGACTGATCGACGCAGAGAGCTTCACGCTTTTCTAATGTGTCTACATGCAAAGAAAATGAAAAGCTTACCGAGAATTGAGTCTACATTTGCTGGCCCAGCTATAGCCGTGGCTTCAGATTGAACAAGAGCAGCAACTTTTGCCTTTCTGGAACATTAAATTGAACGACCAACGCTCCACAAGCAACTGCGTTCAGAAAAGCATAAGCATACACTCACTTTTCAAAGACTTCTTTTTCCCATTGCAGAAACTGTTGTACGTACTTATTGTACGACTCAGTGCCTATTTGTCGGCTGAAACTATGTGATGAACTCGTATGAAATGCTGAGATATTTGCAAAACTCCGGACCACAGGTGTATGCAATGGAGAACGAACACGCGCTGTTGTCCTTACCGGGGAGCA